CGTAGGGAGTATACATAATAACATAATTTAACTAAGTTACTAAATTTATAGGTCTATGCATAATAATATCATGTTAGTGCATCTAGTCGAATTACGCATTATTAATAGGAAACAATTTTGCTGCAGTAGTGCAGTGACATATTACATTCATTAGTTTTCATAAAATATACAGTTGCAAATTGCAATAGAATATCGTCTCAAAGACTTAAAGTAGTAACTAAAATAGTATAATATTCTACAGCACAGATAAAACTATAATTATGTGATCACGTTTAAAATGTAAATTGTAGTACCTACTTTGCTTAGACTACGTGGCAAGTGCAGCCTACTAATTACAAGTATATCCGTCGCCTGGCGGTCGTCTAAGTATACACGTATATAACGTAGAGTAATGGGAAACGAGCGAAAATATAATAATACACTCAAGTGCAACAGTCAATACCAATAATTATACGATTTGACGAAAAGGAGTGCGATTTTGACGCACTATATCTGCATCTGCAAGCCGTTTTTCTTTATTCCGATTATATTTTTAATTATAAATTTATTTGCAATTAGTATTAATAATAATGATAACAGGGCAATCGAAAAACGACGGAGTGCAGCTTGACGATTTTCTAGTACAATCTAGTTCAATTCTAGTACACACTCTATCTCACTTACTGTATATCATGCATATCATACTAAAGTAAAATAAAACAATCATGTTAATTTTTAATATTACATTATTAAGAATCGACATTCAGAAAAAGAAAATTAATACGTCCTATTTAAATAATAGCACGACACAATAATAAATAATAATATTGTATATTATACTTAACAGTGTTTTGACCAAAAAAAAAATAAACGGACGATTTTGTTTTAAACAATACGAAATATACTTTTTAAAAAAATAAATCGTCGTATAGTTGTGAAAGCATGAGGTTCTATATACGCGATATCCGAGCGCGGTTTAATTTTTAGACACGAACGAGTTGTTTCGATGGAAATCATAATATTATAATATCGCCTCCGCAATACCGAGTTTTTCGCAATGAATATACATATACGCGACCATTGGGGACTTAACTAGGACTTACCTATATATAGCCACGAAAACCGCACGATTGCCGCAGATGAAAGAAAAAATTGTATGCGCTGTGTACATCGCGCTGCGGTACGAATAACGAAAAATACACGTACCTACCTACTCTCTACATAATATAATATTGTTAATTTCAATACATTTGCAGTGCTACAACCATACTGTCTGACGGCCCTCCGATTTACAAACCGAGGCGTCGAATTTTACACACCTACACTTTAACAAAAAAATATAATACATATAAAATGAAAATATTTAATAATTATGAACTTTTATAAAATAATCATTCGAGTAAATGCGTATTTTGCAGTCCCTGGGTATAATACGTACCTATAGAGGGTTAAATTTTAAGTGTATATAGTATATACCCAACTCTGCATTTGTCACAATCAAACAATTTGATTATTCAAATTCAAATTTTTCAACTTTTGAGTTGGTACCTCAAGTATATAGGTACACTAAATATATTTAATTCATACTTATTATAGGTAAACAGAAAATATTAAATATCATTTTTTATACGGCATTTACGAGGACTTTGCAAACATGCAGGTTTTGCAGTCGAACTTGGTTAACTCGAACTTTTTTGGCTAAAAATCTTCAATAACTCGAACTTTTTCCAGGTCCCTAGAATTTGCTATTATTGTTTTATCGTTGGACAACTCAAACTTTTTGACCGAACCCTTCAAATTCGATATAACCGAGTATATATATAATAGGTACACGCACTATATATAATATACATTATGGGCAACTACAATAAATATTATAAGAAGCAGTCGTATGTAGCAGAGAGCCATCGTAGTGCGAGGAACCGAAAGTAAATAATAATATATACCCTAGAGTGATTACTGATGTGCGTCTTACCTACCTTAACAACATTCGACAAATCCTCGGGAAATGGCGGTGACGTAGACCAGAAGTGATGATATAGGCTCACATATACATTTAAGTATAACATTTCATGGAATCGTTTCACCGATAAAGTTTGTCGTCTTCGCAGTTCGAGCTGCACAACAAATCACACACTCGCGAACGACGACGTGAAAACGGTTTGGTCAAAAATCGAATGGTGCACGGAAAAACAGGCCGGCAACGACCGAGTTTTCGTCGAACCGACTAACCAACGACGCGGAAATTATCGCGGTTACCCGTTCGTGAGTATTGTAATGTGTAACATTTTCCATCAGTCAGTTTCTGAGGGGCGGTCGGACGTGGTGAGAAACACGGTCGGCTCGCACTGTATAGCCATACCAGCATTTTCCTTTGAGAGACCGATCGACGGAAAATATCGCTATTACTCGTTCTCGATTAACATAAACCATTCCAATGGCGGTCACCTCGTCCATGTTATAAATTCGTCGACAGTAAAATGGACATATTATTATTGCTTACCTCTCCTACCACCAAGTCCATCACCGTCATGCTGATATTATTATTTATTTATTTATTTATTTATTAGTTACATTGCTCGCCAAATTTGATCGATGATCGACGTCGAACCAATTTCTTATGCGTGTGATATTGATTTTTTTGTAGTCAAGTTCATTAATTAATATTGGGCTTAAAAAATGTTAGACCTCCCCCTCAATTGAAAATCCCAAATTGATCCTATGGAGACCCCCTTCCGGTCCTGGTAATAGTGTAGCATCCACGACCACCTGGGAGTATTTTAGTATTTTAAGCTAAACTAATGAGTGTTGTATTTTCAGTACCTATTTAAATTATAATTCTAGTTTAGGATCTGATTATTATTTAACACGGATGAACTTGTCGAACTCGATTGATATCCCCATCACCCCATAACATCTTATTTATAACTTTTTAATACTAGACATCTACAGCAATTTTATTCGACCGTTATTAGTTATTAGTGATAACCTTAAAATAATAATATATAGAAACACGAATTATATATCATACAAGGGTCATGGTGATAGTCATTTATTATAACCTCAGATGAAATTTTCAAACATACCTACTACATATTAGTATTTCAGAAATGGTAAACAATAATTAGTAAGTATTCAACTAGTTAATTCCATAGGAGTAGATTGAGGGTGGAGGCTTAAGCCGCCTTCATAAGGGGCTTAGCCCCTAAAATATCTCCTAATGTATTTCCTCGTAAGTATAATAAATTATGTTAAAAATGTCAATTGATATTTATAGTCCCCCCCCCAGATTTTTAACCATATTTACGACTATGGTTAATGAACTTTAGAAATTGAACGAAAATCAAAATGTCAATATAAAAAATTATAGTTGAACAATCGTGGTTTTATTTCAGAAATTACTGACATCATAACGATATGCGCACAGCACAGCTGCTACTATGACACAATATATATTGTATATACATATATAGCCATATAGGTGATGGATCGCCCGAACCATTCAAACTCATATTATGCTGCAGCAGGTCGTAGATCAACGGTCACCGCAGCGACCGCAAACATAACCCGTTTGTTAAATATCGACCATATTGTATTGTCTATAGGTACCATAATATATAACGCATTCATCGAAAGAATTCTGTAAACACAAAATAGGTATATAATATATTGTATATATTTCTAGCCTTCTAGGTGTGTACGTCGGACGTCAGCCAGCCTTTTAATTTTGGATTCTAACCGATAAACTGAAGCTATATTATATATTAATGGCTTAAGGCAATATTAGTGATAGGTATTTAAACGATTGAACGATGCTCAACTTTTACGGATAGAAGGAATGTATAAAAAAATGTTATCGTTGTGTAGTATTCTCATATAGGTTAGGTTAGGTTAGGTACATTGGGAATCTAGTACCTATATATTAATATATTATCCTATATGTTGAACCAGTTATTTTTCGATTTTTTCAACTTATCTATCAATAAAAAATGTAAAAAGGGCTTAGCCCATGAAAATATTATATAAAATAAAATAAATATTTATATGAATAAGTCTCTAAACATGTATATGTTATGATTTGATGATTTGGATCATCCGATTATCGTATAGTGTACATATATAAGTATCAAAAATCTAAGTAAACAATTATAACAGAAATGTTTGTGTTTTTGATGAGAATCAAAGATTTTTATCTTGTATTTTAATAATTTCAGCATAATTATAATTTTTTTCGAACAGAATTAATAGTTCCAGTAGAATTATTATTGTTTTTTAACATCTTTACAAAATTGTACTCAAGATTACGGTTTATCTGGCCATACAAAGAGCACTTAACTCTTAAGTACAAAGTACAATATTTAAAAAATAACAAAATAATAGAATATAAACAAAAAATTACAAAGCTCAACTAATCAACGAAAAAAGAATTATTTAAAAAATGTATATTTCGCATATTCATGATACACATCTTAAATGTCTGCGATAAAATCCCAAAAACCTTTTAATTGAAAAAAAATTTCAGCTAAAATATAAATTAACATTTTTCATATATTATTATGCTTGAGTCTCTAGATCGTATAAATAAATCAAATATTATTATACGCAGAGTCTGGCCGACGTAACTCATCGAATGTATAAAAATAATCAATATTATACTCCGAAGTTCCTAACAAACACCTTTATCGCAGTTAAATGTTTGTAGGGTTCAAAGTGTTAATTTATATTTATATTATTTACATCCCAACACTATACACACTAAATTGGACAGACCGATAATGGCTAAAATGTACAACGAAGTCATAATCATATTTATCTAGACTCTTACTGGTAAAAATAACTATAAAATACGCATATATATTTCATGTGATTTCATTTAAATTGTATTTGCAGTGGTGAACAGAGTGGTGTCATACATACTATTATAAACCATATGCGCTGTTAAAAAATGTGTTTTACCTATTATTTAATTTAAATTCAAGAAACTATTACGATTTTGAATTTATACCTAAGCAGGTACAACAATGAACGTAAAAATCGTCACTATACTGATTTTAAATATTCTCGTAATCGGCGGACTAGCAGAGGGTGATGTTATTGAATACAAATCACATACGGGTATATTTTTTAATCAAATAATTAAATTTAAATATTCACCACCCGTTAAAAATTATTTGTTAAAGTGGATAGTAAAAAAAGATTACAAAAGAAGGTATTATTTATGTAAACTATGGGTCTTATTAAGCGTCTATAGATATTTTAAGTCTTAACCAGACTATTGGTACCATCTTTAGATGTATTATATATTTATATTTAACTCAATAATACATAACTTTAATACTTTTTTTTTATATACAAATAATATACGGTCTGTATCATTAATACAATAAGAATAAAGAATATATAGGCTAAAAGATCAATTGACATGTAACATTATTGTGATGAAAGGAGCCACCCAACGATGACACCTCCTATGGTTACTTAATTATTATATTTAACCATTTCTGTTTTATAGTATAGGATGTTTTTTTCTTGGGGGATTACCAGGTATGGTATAGCGGAGGCAAAATGTTTGATAAGTGGATAAGTCGAATGAGTACTTAGGTGGTTATTGTGGAATCTTTTATAGAAACGTTTAGATTCATCACTTACTGTTTTTAGTTTTAGGTCTGAATGTAGATAAAAATTTGATACGTAGGGAGGTGCATTTGTTAATTTCCTTGGACAAATATTTTGAATTGCTTGAATTTTGTTAATATTTGATTTTTCCGCAATACCCATAACTGCAGACCGTTTGATGCCCGTGGAAGTGTATTTATTGCACAATTCCGTTTTTAGCATACGTAAGCGATTATTATATGGTGGGCCCAAGTAAGTCTTTGATCGAGTGTTAAACCAATATATTTAACAGTAGGAGAGCTAGGAAAGGGTGTGCCATATAGAGAAACATTAGGAAATGGAGACTGTCTAAGGGTGAAGGTAGTATGGATAGATTTGCTTTAATTAACTTTAAAACGCCATTACCTACATTATATTTAGTGTTTTTACTTTTGAAATTTTTTCTCAGATAACTATGACATCACAACAATTTATAAAACAACGCCGGAGTATAATGATGGAGAAAAAAGCAATCGTAAATATTTAATTACAAACGGCATTTTAACAGTTTAACATTGAACTTACTCTTTTCAGGATATCCTTTCAATATTGTTTTGTGTCCCAGATGCTATGATGCAAAAATTCATTTGAGAACTAATGCTATTGGTATGCCAATTGAATTTAATGGATCAATTCTGAGTTCCGATAAGAAAAGTTTAGAATTCATAGCAGACAGCAAGTATTCAAAAAACATTTTCACTCAAAACCAAATTGAATACAACATTGGAGAATGGACCATCTCGAGTTTATCTATGTCTGGTACGTAAAATACCTATTGAATTAAATGTTTAAATTTTGAACAATTTATGGAAATACTAATAAATATTAGGTGATAAAATTTGATCTAAATTATAAATTTATATATTATATGATATTATAGAAAAACAATGGCATATTATAAACTTATAAAAAATGTCATTGAATATCTTTTCAAAAACGTTCAGTCAGTATTTATTTGTATATTTTTGAATTCATTTTACGTTTTTGAATTTTGACATATACTCAATGCCTCGTTCCTATTGTTACAGATCCAGCTGCATTTCTGAACATCTATCCCTCTTATGAATTGCTATTGTGGAAAGCTAACAACAAAGCAGAATCGTTCAAAATCAAATGGAAACAAAGAAATTCAATTAAAATGTGTATATCTGTATCATATTTACTAGGAGATGAGTCGAAGTGTACGTTTTCAATGGACTTAACTAATGAAGATAAGCTTGACAAAGGAATCTTATATTCTAGTAATATTAAAGAATCGGTAATTGGTATTGCATATGTATTTAAATATATAATACGACCTATATTATAGGTAATATATTCTATTAAAATGCACCAAGTCACTTTTTATACAGTTTAATATAGAATAACAAAAACATTATATTTTAATTGTACGCGTATTTCATTACACATTTATGGCTATATTATGGACATATTCCTTAGGTTTTGGAGAATTTTTATTTTATCAATCCAATTTTACGGAAATCATGAAAAAAAACATACTTACCACCTATAATATATTATATAGTAAAAAACTAACTTTCGAAAAAAATTCCACTCAGGATAAAACGTATAATTTTATTTTTTATTTTTTATTAAATATTTTTTGCAGAAAATACTAAAAACGGTATTGTTCAAAAGCAATAACTGGTTATATGAAAACGAAACATATAGTTTAAATTTTAAATTGGAAAAAAAATCATCAGAAGTAAGAACTCCCAATGAGAGATATTATAATGGATATTATACAGAGTATACTTATAAAACAGTATACATGGACGGCTGTAAGATTGGAATTAAACGAATAGCTTAATGCACAGATGAATATGGTAATTAAAAATCGTAGTTAATACTTGGGTAATACAACAGTTTTTTTCAAACTTGAATCAAATTATAATTATATTTAAATATTTATAAACGTTCTATGATAAATATTTAGACTTAAAATTTAAAAAGTCCATTGCATTTCAAAACTCAGAAGATAAACTATTAGCTAGTTAAAAGAATAACACTGTTGTAGTGATCAACACATTATGTTATTATATAAATAAACACTGTCTTTTTTTATTTTTTTATATACATAATATAATATGATATAATGTCATGATGATAATAATCATATTACGTTAAACAGAAAACGAAGAAATATTGACGATAACTGCAAAAGAACTACAAAAGACACCATCTGCAGCAGCTTCGTTAAACATCAATGTTTATCCATTTGGTAATAAATTATGCACGTAAAAACCCATTTTGAATATTTTATCTATAATTTTGTTATGGACATTTGTTGGGAACAGAAAAATGTAAATAAAAACTAAATACTCACGAACTCAATGAACGAGACACTATGTCGAAAAACATATCAATTTTGAACGAATCTTGAAAGCTGTTAACTCTATAATGAGTTGAGAGCGTTTTATTTTATTTTTTTTTTTTAACGATCTCAATGTTTATTAAATTTATAATAAATATAGTAATATTAATATAACTATACGTCATTTTTTTAGTTAAATGCATACGTTAGCAATTTTCATTAGTATACAAAAATGAATAGATAACCATGCTCATAGATAGAATGCTGGTAGATAACCTATTAAGTATAGGTAAAGGTATGTCGTATGCTAAAATTATAATTTAAGCCTCTGTTGGAGACTTGGAGAGGATATATTTATAAACTGCAGTTTTCTGGAGGCATATATAGTTTATACTTAGTGATGTTTATTCAAATCAATGTTAGGTTTTAATGAATCTGGCATTATTCATCCTATATAAATAAGACAAAATTGATCTACAAAAGGGTGATCAAAAATACTCGAATCTCACCTTTAAGGCATTAAATTTACAGCCATTAAAAAATAAAACTTAAACCAAATAAATACAAGGCGCTACGTGAAAACGTTTTATTTTATCCGTGATCGAATCACATATTATTGTAGAACTACACAGTATACAAGCGTATGCTAAACATAATAATATGTCGGAAATTTTAGAAAATACGATGCGGATAAGACAACCTTTGGAGTGCCTTAACGGAGGATTTTCAGACAAAAACGGCTGTACGTGTCCTCCTGGTTTCAAAGGCAATAAATGCGAACACGGTGAATAGTTTGAAAAATTCATTAAAATTATCATACATTTGAAATCGAAAGTGCTTGATGTTTAAATAAATAAATACAAATAGTACGACGTTATAACATTATATATTATATATTAATCAGGATGCGGACCTAACGCGTTTGGCGCTGACTGCACCGGAATGTGTTCGATTCACAAAACGCACTGTCGGCAGATGATGTTTTGTACCAACAATTTTGGGTGCAAGTGCCCGGCGGGATATACAGGAGACGATTGCACCACAGGTATAGTAAGGGCGCTGTAAATAATCAATTATTGTTAATTAAATACAAGGTTATCCGAGTCCAGATTTACGTGCATAATATAAAATCCAAAGACATATTATATTATATATTTCAGAGTTTTAAGGCATTTCATTTTCGGTTTAAACTGCAATGTTTAGGCAAATTGAAGTGTTCAGAAACAAAATATACATTTTTGGTACCTACGCCTATACGTAGCGGAAATACACAACGCATATTTTCCAAGCTATATTCTACAAATTACAATACTTTTTATATATGTATATGGATTAACATTTTACCTCCGATTTATTCTAGACTTTTTATGTACATTAAAATTGTTATTTTATTATTTATTGCACGAGATCTATTAATAAAATGTAAACTGTATTGATGTGACTACACATCTACATGCCTTGATCAATGAATCTTTTAAGAGCAGAATGTAAGAGTGGTACGTACGGCGTAAATTGCGAGCAAAATTGTTCGGAGAGATGTAGTTCGTCATCGTGTGACGTTTACACTGGTATTTGCAACAAAGGATGTACGTCAAGTTACATAGCACCGGATTGTGAAGAAAGTAAAGCTAAATTATTAGACCCCTATAAAGTAATAATTAATATAAGTATAATTCGTTTTGCGTTTAGAGTATCCGTGGCTCAAATCACCGCCACAACTAGAATCGTCGGATTTTAGGTCACTAAAATTGAAAATTGATTTTACTTCGGAAAACATACTAGGCAGTAGCAATGTTAGCTCTGTCTATTACCAAATCCTATTTAAGGTAAATATCATGCACCAATAAATTGTACATATATTAAGGACATACAGTAACAAACATCAAAATTTAAAGATAATAATAATATATTACTATAGTCTAGTTAAAATCTAATAACAATTTACCCACTAAAACTATATGGTTAATTAAAAGTCACAATCGATAACAATATGACAAATTTAAAAATAATATATTTTGATGTTCCTAAAAATCAGCACATTTGCCTAAAAAAAACTTAGAATAAACCCGACAAGGCTTGTGATATACAATTATAGCAGTTGTTTGAATAAAAAAATCAACAGATATTTTACTAATCTTCAGTAACAAAAATTTAAGAAAAATTCGCATATCAGTTTTTTTTATATATTTATCTATTCGGAACTTCTCTCAGTTTGGTGTATTTCTTGTATATATTTAAGGCCACTTCAAACGAATCGAAATTTCAATACTTGGAATTAAAAGAATTCAAACAAAAGTCCGTAATAGAAGTCATAGACGATCTCAGACCGGGAATATCATACACTTTCGGCGTGATCCTAGTATCAGAAGACGGAAATTACAACATAGATGACATCAAAACAGTAAATTACTCGACCAAGTGCCTAGGTATATATAATAATCACTACTAATATAACATATTAGAACATATAGTACTACAATATCAATTATTTTTTGTATAATAAAGTGCCAAGAAACCTAAATTATGATGTCAACTTATTGAGTGGCACAGACTACATCAATGTTACTTGGAACAAGGTAAACAACTAAAATAAAATTGCATATAATGTTTCTACATGTCCATTACTGTAATTTAATTTTGAGTTTGAAACAATATATTAATATGTTATTAATTATTATGTTTGTTATTTCTTGTATAGATTAACGATCAAAACGAAGAGGACTGTAAAATAACTGATTACTTGTTAAAACTGATGTTTAATCACACTGCAGGGATACAGCAACAAAGTTATTCAGAAGAAGTAAAATCTAATAATAATTATGGATATGTGTTTGAAAATCTACTATCTGGTGAAAAATACGCAGTTCAAGTAACAGCAATATCAGCTACGGGCCAGGCTACACCATCAAAAATATCATATATTTACACCACACCTTATGGTATATGTATAATTTATACCATTACCTAGATCCATTTACCGTAAAAAACACTTATTTTCAAACTCATTTTGTAGGATTTGTTAAAATAAAAAACATAAAAGCCAAACTAAATCAGAGTTCATCACTGATAATAACGTGGGATGTTGACGAAAAATACGTAAATACGACGTTTACTTATGTAATTAAATACAAGGTATGATGGTCATATTATTATATTAAATTATTAAATTATTTAATAGCAAAAAGGCAGGCAGGCAATAATAGTTTAGATAACAGTACGACACCGTTTTAAGATAAAATGTTATAAACTGTGTCTAGGTCAATAAACATTTTAGTTGTTCAAACGAAGTAATTACAAACAACTGGACATCGCTGTTAGTTTACAATCAGACAAGACGCGAAATTTGGGATTTGATACCGAACACACAGTATGTTATAAAGGTTGACCCAGAAATTAAAGGATATAATTACAACAACTATGCTAATGTTGTTTTTGTAAAAACGCCTATCTCTAGTTAGTAGTTTTCATAAATTTTAATATTAAACATATTCAAAATATTTTATAATCTTAATTGCTTGATAATATTGTTATAGCTCCCAAATTAACACCTGCAATTAACGACAAATATGGTTCGTATGTCACCAATCAAAGCGCATACTTCAATTGGACGATAAACAAGGCCGATTGTTCTAAACTAAATGGTTTCTTTCGAGGATACCAGATCATACTTAAAGTTAGTATAATGTATCTATAAATAGCTGTATACATCAATTTAACTTGTTGTGATTATTTTTTTGGATAAACAGCGTACACTGAAATAATTACACAACACAATATCAAATAATATTTTAGACTTTTATATAATTTTAAAAATAAATGATACCGTATTGTATACAGGATATAGTAGAAGGCACGCAAGTAGAAAACTTTATTAAACAAAACACGGTGAACTACGACGGATTAAAACCCGACACAAAATACGAACTGCAAGTATACGTACTGACGAATTATGGATACAACTCGGAACAAGGATTGTTGATACCGTTCAAAACCAAAACTAAATGTAATAAGGATCTTTCTATTGCTATAGCCTATAATAAATCTTGCTACAAAATACTTTTACTCCAATTTCCCTTCCCTCAATTCCATTAACACGCCACAGGATGTACCTATACATAATATATACCTATTACCTATACTATACCTACGTAACATCGTAACAATATATATATACCTATTACCTATATTATAAGTTATTTTTATTACATTTCAGTTTCAGTACCGGTGGACGAATTAATAGTTTACAAGAAAGACTTGAAGCACAAATCGATTGGTATCCGATGGAGTTTCCCTGACGAAAACATCATCAACGGTTTTATTGTCAGCGCAATCGACGAGAATATGAATAGTACAAAGCAAATTACCATAGAACCCAAAAGATGCGGTGCTTGGCCAAAATTATATTGCACTACTTTTGAGAACCTAATACTAAACCACCAATACACCATAAAAGTATAATACTATTCAACGAATGTCGAGGTTTTAGTAAATAACTATATTATACAACTTCTTAATATTGTGTTTTAGATTAAAGCTAAGTCGATAGACTATCCTACAGGTGGTAGTGCGGCATCAGTCGTCAGCATTTTCAACGACGGGTGTAAGTATACAATATACTTTTTGATAGGTCTCAAAAATAACAACATGTTCGTTCAACAACAAATCTAAACAGTTGCAGATAAACCGGAAAATCTCAGGACAACAGACGTAGGCTCCACGCATATTTCACTGGAATGGGACATTCCATTGATATTCAACGGTGTGCTGAAATCGTTCATAGTGAACACCGAAGAGATTTCGTCTAAAGACATAGATAAATGCTGTGATAGCAAACCCGATATAGAGATTCCGATAACAGAAGAACTCCCAACTTATAACTGCACGGTAATTATGAGATACAAATTTTTATAGATTTAATACGATCGATCGCAGAACGAATAATATGGGTACGTAGGCAAGTATATTATATAAGTATTAAAATTCTAACAACCATCGGTGCAAACATCTTTATATACAATTATAAACAGTTTATTTATAGTATGACACGTTTCAGATAAACCACTTGAAGCCCGGTTCCACTTATTCGATCAGTGTATTATCGAAAACTTCGTTATATGGTCAAACTAATAGGATACACGTGACGACCCTATCCACTCCTGAGGAGGCTGATATCATTGAAAACTATCCGGTAATGACATCTGAAACGCAGATATCAGTCGAATCTGAAGAAAGTACTTTCGGGCCAGAATATTAACGTAGAATATCATTGCACTCTTAGATTAACTTAGAATATGATTGCAATTTAATAGATTCACGAGCAAGTTATATAATACGCATAGTACATAAGTATTTTTCATTATTATGTATCATTATGTATATCTGCAGTTGTATATTGCCATTTAAGTTTAGGTAAATTTTTATTATCATTATTTTATATTCATTGGAGTTTATTATAGTTCACATGAAACCCAACCCGAAAAATAACAGGTAACATATATATATTATGTATCTATAAAGATTTCAAAATAACTAGATATGTAATTACGAATAAATAATAATTATAAACACGTTTTTAACATTTCCATTTCTAGGATATAATATTATAATTTATTTCCTTGAAACAACTAAAAATCTAGGATTGTAATTTGACCTATTAAAGCCGATTATAAGCATTTACTCAAGTAAGATGAAGCCAAATAATAAGTTATCAGGTACCAAATGCATTTATTACATAATGGTGAAAACAATGAATTACACATTATAATAGAGCTAATCAGATTAAGCCGGTATAGAATTATATTAATGAAATCGAGATGACTTTAAAATAATGTGTGGTTACTGGTTATACTATAGCACGATATAATTTAAAAAATTCAACAAAGCCATAAATAATTACTGCAATACCGATTGATTTATTTTAGATAATTATAATTTATTATTTTAAGATAAAAATTCTTAGTAAATATCCATTCCCAAAATTATGAACTATAAGTGTCTGAATACGCCATGAACTCATGAACAAACTATATTTACCTAATATTCACTATATGATAGGTATCAGAAGTTGAGAAACTTTTATTAAAGAATTATTATTATATATTTTTATTATTGTCAAATAGCCAAATTAAATTATGAACACCATCAGAAAAAATAGGAAACTGTAATAAATTGCTGAATGATGTTATTACAACATATGGGTACAAGCATTAAACTAGGATCTCATTAATGATGAAGTCACAAGACCGAAAAACTATATTATTGTTTATTTATTTCGAACTTCAAATCATAGGAAATTAGGAAAATGATAATGATTTAAAAATTTAAAATGTTATTAAAAACAGCCGAAATGTTGTTTAACGAGTGTTGCTGTATTATTTCTTCAACAAACATGTCTTTTTATTATTCTGTTAGCACTCGTGCTTATTGTGCACTATATAATATATATGTATACGTGTAGGATGTACGTATGTTCAACAATTTACCTAATTGAAAAGTTCGACTAAATACGAAAAATGTGAGAAGTCTTTTTTCTATACATAGTAGTATGCGTAGGCCAGAGATAACAGATGTTAGCCACTTTCACTCAAAATCTGGATATTATCCTCCAACGACGTTTTCCTTCAACATAATAAAAAAATATTTAAATTATTTAAAACGCTATATAATTAGTATTTTATATTTGATTAGACGTAATTTTTGACGGTATTACCTACATTTAGTTACATTAGTTTACAATCCATGTATAATGTGTATCAATATATTACATAATATTATGTTTTAAAATCAACGATAATAATTATTATTAAGCTATAGCAACCCGTGAATCAATGCTATATTGCTATATTATATAATGTCAAATATATATAGTTAAAAGAAAATCAGAACTTAATTCAGTTTGGAAAATATAAACTGCTGTTTCCTGTTAGTACATATATGTATAATATTATAATATAATATATCGATTTGAAATTATAAGTAAATACTCTTTATTTAAAGTGTTGTTAGAACTATCGATATTTTAAAGATAATTAATACAATAATATATAATTAACTAGTTTTTTTTAAATTTTTTTTGTATTCAAATTTCGTTGCCGTATATTTACGATGAAGCTTTAAATTTCAAAATATGATCTAATTTTGGTGATTTATGAATATTATCTACTTTTATTTTTTTTAATTTATTCTAAACGGACCACCTATAAAGGTTAATCATTTTTTTGACTAGCATATTTGATAAAACTGAAATCTAAATAATTATTTGTTTAACCAGCTAAACTGCTAAGCTCCATAACAAATATTATTATCTTGAAACAGTTTATTTGTTATTTTTTTCACCAATATACGGCTTTTATGAAATTAATATGATTCTGGTTTAACAATAATGATGCTCAAGGTCCGTTACATTAGCACCACCAAATTTGAAATTCCAAAAAAAAATTATACCAACGATTGTTATTCCATTTGTACACATTTGTAATCCTAATATAAACATTTGTACACCACCCCAAATACCCAAAAAAACGAAATTTCCGTGGTGGTGCTAATGTAACGTTACACCAGCACCCCACTTTTTGTACAATCGAATTATCAGCCCCAAAATGGTACCAACGATTGTTATTCCATTTGTACACATTTGTAATCCTAATATAAACATTTGTACACCTCCTCAAATGCCCCAAAAAACCTAATTTCCGTGGTGGTGCTAATGTAACGTTACACCAGCACCCCACTTTTTGTACATTGGACTTAGGGGCTCCAAAATGGTACCAACGATTGTTATTTCATTTGTACACATTTGTAATCCTAATATAAACATTTGTACACCTCCTCAAATGCCCCAAAAAACGAAATTTCCGTGGTGGTGCTAATGTAACGTTACACCAGCACCCCACTTTTTGTACAATCGAGTTATCAGCCCCAAAATGGTACCAACGATTGTTATTCCATTTGTACACATTTGTAATCTTAATATATTTATCATACACTGGAAATTGGTACTGTATGTCTGTCTGCTCAGTATATATATATTATACTTATATTTATTCATTAATAAACTTTTGATACAAAATAAACCTTCCAGATTTGCTTCCCTTAATAAATTACTAAACCAAGAATCCAATAGCATGTCAAGCATTAATAAAAATTACTAATTGTTATTTAAACATTTAGATAAAAAAAGTTTTATCTACATATTTATCTAGATAAATATTGAAAATTCTATCTTCATATTAATCTAGATATTAATTTAGCTAGTAATCTAATATGCATCTAAACGTTATTTTTGCTATCTGAACCTAACACTGACCGTAACCCACACATTGATACTGACGATCGCGAGTGCCTCTTGCCATATTTTCTCCCACCATATTTTCATCCTTAGATCATAAACTATGGATGGATCCATGTTCCTATCTGAGCTTTCTTGTATATACTCGTCGCATATGTCTGCTAATAACTGCATTGTCATTGGGAATATTGAGGGGTCCCAAGCCCGGATTAAGGGGGGGCAGGGGGGCCATGGCCCCCCTGCCTTCATAGTTAGAATTTATTTAGGGGCATCTGATTTGTCCATTAATTTTTTCGTTATAGGCTATATAACACTGCATAAATCAACTAAAATAATATCGATGATTATTTAGCTAGGAAAAAGCTTGTAAATTATAATTTATAAAAAAAGTGATACATTATTCATTATTTATTTCTATACACCTAATAGGTATATTATATTTATTATAACAGGTACCTAATATTAAATAATATACAATGTGCCCCTGGGTGAAGTGACCGGTCAACGTCATATAAAAGTATACCAAAAATGATGAAGAAATACCCTTTAAAGATTGAATCTAGCTTTTTTATTTTTTTAGTTATGGGCAGTTGACTTTTTTTTATCAAAACCATGCGTATCACGCATTTGTTAATGTATCTTCAAAACTTTTCAACATTTTTACGTAATTTTATTTTTATTTTTAAGCTATTTAATTGTCCTATCAACTGACATGCGCAATCAAGCCAGAAATGTGCTAATTATTTTTATTAAACAAAAAAAGAGAAAAAAGTTGGGAAAAATTAGTATTTTTAAAAGGAAATTGTGCATTATTCCAAATAATTTATAATTATATAACTAAGAATTTTTTTTTTGTAGTTTGACAACTAAAATTTACTGAATAGTATAAAATTAAACAATTGACGACCAATTAACCGACTCAATCCTAGAAAAACCAAAATTGTGACTATTAACAGGAATATATTATGAAAACGAAACTTTCAAGCTATTCTAGGTATTATTCAGTAGAATTCAGTAGAATAATACAAAAAACAAAAAACCCATACTAAGTAATAAATTATTTGGAATAATACACGATTTCCTTTAAAAAATGTTAATTTTTGCCAACATTTTTCTAGTTTTTTAATTTAATAAAAATAGTTAGCGCATTTCTAGTTCATTTGCGTATGTCAGAGTGTTGATAGGACAATTTAATAGCTTAAAAATATAAAAAAAATTTGAAATCTTTGATGTGATATGTGTGGTTTTGTTAAAAAAAATGTTAATTGCCCATAACTTAAAAAATAAAAATAGTTAGACCCAATCTTTAAAGGGTCTTCATCATTTTATACTTTCATATGACGTCGGCTGGTCACTTCACCTCGGAACACATTATATACATTAATATTTTTTTTTTGAACTGGGGCCTCATTTAAAACTTTGGCCCCTGGGTCTCAAAATGTATTAATCCGGGCTTGGGGGGACCGATGCACAGTGACTAAGTCGTTCTCTCTTGGGTGGGAGTACGTTCATGTTTTTTTTGTCGGAAAATTTGATGTCTGAAGTACGTGGGGTGGTTGCGAAAAGTTCGAGCGTACATTTTTCATTTTTTTTGTCACAATAAAGACGTTTTCAGCTATGTAAAAACATTGGAATGATTTTAAACCGATAACGATGTAACGATGTTTTGACTATTTATATTTAAAAGAACTTGTCCAGACTGACTGACTGATCAACCATTACGACACAGCTAAAACTACCAAACCGATTCATATGAGATTTTGATTGAACGTAGATATTTATTACTGTGTTCAGTCAGATTTTCCGAAACTTGAATTGTAATTACAATACATACTCGCTGATTCGAATGTTCGATTTGTGAACATTTGCGTTGGTTGTCGTCGGGATGGTCCATGCGTTTTTGTTATTTTATTTCACATTAGATATTTAGATATTTACGATGCCGGGTTATTTTGATTGTATTTTAC